CTGTATCCTCTCTTTACTCTCTGCATTTTCTACCTTGTCTTGCCAAGCTGCCTTCCTGATTTTTTGACAAATTTCCTAGTTCACTAGTCTCTTTTCAGCTGCATCTAGTCTGCCTTTAGTCTGCAATTAAAATCCATCAATTAGGGCAGCCTGGGTGGCTCAGTGGTTTAGCGCCACCTTTGGCCCAGGGTGTGATCCTGGAGACCTAGGATCAATTCCCACATCAGGCTCCCTGCATGGAGCCTGCTTCTCCCTCTGCCTGTTTCTCTGCCTTTCTCTCTGTGTGTCTCATGAATAAATAAAATCTTTTATTTTTTTTAAATTTTTATTTTATTTTTTATTTTATGATAGTCACACAGAGAGAGAGAGAGAGGCAGAGACACAGGCAGAGGGAGAAGCAGGCTCCATGCACCGGGAGCCCGACGTGGGATTCGATCCCGGATCTCCAGGATCGCGCCCTGGGCCAAAGGCAGGCGCCAAACCGCTGCGCCACCCAGGGATCCTAAATAAAATCTTTTAAAAAATAAAATCCATCAATTGAATTATTTTTCAGTTCTAGAATTTTTATTGGGTTCTTTTTCAAGTCTACTGTGTCTTTTTTTTTTTTTTTTTTTGTAATAGTTTCTGCTTCCCTGATAGAATTTCCAAGCCTGGCTATTCTTTGACCCTAGTGAACCTAATTGTTTTGCAATCCAAGTTGGCTAAATCCAAATTATCCGACGTTTTTTGTAGTTTGCTTCTGTTGTCTGTTGTTTCTGCTGTTTTTTACTCACAGAGTCTTGTTTTCTTGTGTCTGGTTATCTTCATATGTTGAACATGTATTTGAAAAAGTACATATGATAATAACATAAGCCTGAGTAGGATATAATGCTATCTTCCTCCAGAGAAGATTTTTTTTCTCTGATAGGTAACAGAAGAACTTACTGGACCACCAAGGACCACCATAATACAGGCTCAAAGCCTTAATTCCTCATGACCACCAAAATGACAAAAATCTGGGTTAAAATACAGTTCATCTTTCAGGTTGAACTTCAGGGGTCTAGATTCAAGTGGGTGCAGAGTATTAAAGTGCCTACACCTTGGTGGGTCCTAGCCTTTACTCTTTGTATCCCTAACCCTACAAACCCACCAAAAGTGTAGATCAGTTTCAGTACAAAGTTGTTACTACACAACTGGCAAATCACCCTGAAGCCAAGTATATGCCTTTATGTGCTACATTTACAAGGGACAAGTAAGTGTTTCAGGGAAGATGCATGAGATAAGAGGTCTGAACTAGAGTATTAGATTCAGGGGATTCTTGGGAGATAGAACCTAATTCAGTGATTAACTGAGGGTATGAAGGAGGAAGCAGTCGAGAATGAGTACATAGGTCAGTACTAGAGAGGACATTTATGAGATGAGGTTCTATTTTGTATGGATTGAATTTGAGATGCCTTTAAATTATCTAAGTGGTGTTGTCTTTGAAGTAGCTGGACATAGGTATCTACAGGAGAACTTGGGACTAGAGTTTGCTGTTGATGATAATTGGAGCCTGGGAAGTCGAGGTGCTCTCACCCAGGGGAAGTCATATCAGATGTGAGGTAATAACCTAGATTTGAAACTGAGGAACATCAACATGTTAGGGATATGCAGGAGAGTAAACTAAAGACAAATAGTTAGAGCAAGAAAAGAGATCAAGTAAGGTAAGGAATGATCTGCTGAGTTTAGTGACCTGAAGGTTATCTGTAACCTTGCAAGGCAGTTCTGGTAGAGTGGTGGGGCAGAAACCTGACTACAGTCGATTGAGGATGATTGGGCAATGAAAAATCCAGAAAATGGATACATGCGACAACATAGATTATTAATCTCAAAATCAGTATGCTGAGGAAAAGAAGCTTAAGAGTGCATTTGGATGAAAATTCTGAGCAGGTGAAACTAATTTATGCTGACAGCAAGCAGGTCATAGTTGCCGCCTGGGAACAGGTGTGGGGAAGGTGGATTGACTGCAGAGGGGAACAGGGCAACTTCTGGGGCTGATGGAAATATTCTATAGCTTTAATGGGGTAGTCATTACACAGATGTATACACTTGTCATGCATTGACCACACTTAAAATGGGTATATTTATTATACATAAATTATACCTTACTACAGCCTATTTCATATTTTAAAAAGTTGAAAATGAGAGGTCCCTGGCTGGCTCAGGCAGAGGAGCATGCAACTCTTATCTCAAAGTTGTGAGCTTGAGCCCCATATTGGGTGTAGAGATTACTTAAAAAAAAACATAAAAAAATAAAATGTAGAAAATGAGTATAATTCATTCATTAAATACACTCAATTTGTGAAGAGGTAGTAGCTGAAAAGGCATCTGTGTGAGGTTGAGTGTTCTTAAAGATTATTCCAGAGAGAGAATGCAGTGGGGAAAGGCAGAGGGTGAATGAGAGAGAAACTAAAGCAGACTCCATTCTGAGTATGAAGCCCGATGCAGGATCAATCCTACCAAGATCATCATGGCCTGAGCCAAAACCAAGAGTCAGCACTTAACTGAATTTGCCACCCAGGTACACCCTATGGTTGAGTGTTTTTAGATGGAAGAGCCTTGAGCATATTTAAATGCTACTCTAATTCAACGAAAGGAAGCAGTTGAAATCAAAAGAGGGTAAGAGACAGCAAACGGGGATCCCTGGGTGGCGCAGCGGTTTGGCGCCTGTCTTTGGCCCGGGGCGCGATCCTGGAGACCCGGGATCGAATCCCACATCGGGCTCCCGGTGCATGGAGCCTGCTTCTCCCTCTGCCTGTGTCTCTGCCTCTCTCTCTCTCTGTGACTATCATAAATAAATTTAAAAAAAAATTTTTTTTTTTAAAAAAAGAGACAGCAAACGGAGAAATGTGATAAAAGCATGTACCACGTCAAAAACTATAGTAAGGGGATCCCTGGGTGGCGCAGCGGTTTGGCGCCTGCCTTTGGCCCAGGGCGCGATCCTAGAGACCCGGGATCGAATCCCATGTCGGGCTCCCGGTGCATGGAGCCTGCTTCTCCCTCTGCCTGTGTCTCTGCCTCTCTCTCTGTGTGTGTGACTATCATAAATTAAAATAAATAAATGAAAATTAAAAAAAAAAAAAAACTATAGTAGGGGCACCTGAGTGTCTCAGTCAGTTGGGCATCTGACTCTTGGTTTTGGCTCAGGTCATGGCCTCAGGGTCGTAAGATCAAGCCCTGTGTCAGGCTCCACTTGGTGTGAAGCTGCTTGAGTTTCTCTCCCTCTCTCTCTCTCCCTCTCCCCTACCTCATGTGTGTGCTCTAAAATGGATAAATTAAACAAAATCAATCTATAGTAAGTGAACACGGTGCCAAAACCCCAGTTCTTGGAACTTCTCAGTACAGAAAGTTTATCTTTAATAGCTTATGTTCCAAAATCATTTCCTTCTATTTCTAAAACAAGTTCAGCTAATTTTTTTTATAAGTCCATTAGTAAGAGGTACAGGTTTGAATATATATGGATAGAAATGGTCTGAGCAAAGTATTTAACCTGAAAAAAAAAAAAAGAAACCCTGTGTATAATCCAGAAGACAGGTGGCAAGAGTTCAGAGAAAGGTTCATGATAAAAGAATGAGAATATAAGATTTTCTTGTCAGGCACTCATTTTTTTATGTATTTATTACAACCATCTTGTTGGCATTCCCATTTTATAGAAGAGGGAATAAGCTCAGGTCAACTAACCTGCCCAAGATAACACAACTGGTAAATTATAAAAGTAGATTAAAACCTAGATTTCTATCACTTCAAACCTAGAATATCTTACCCTGGTTAAACAATTCTTCCTCAAATCTTTATTGTATATACAATATTGTAACAACAAAAGAAATCAAAATATCAACCCACCCTAATCCTTTGGTTTCTTCATTTTACCAAAGTAAAATATCTTCAGATAACAATATACTCATGCCCATGAAGTAAAACGGGGAAAAAGTATGTTAAGTATTCTATTTTTTTGATCCATTAGTTAAATAAATGCTCACTTGTCCTCTAATACTATTGTTTTCAAGTTAATCTCTTAGATGGTGTTTTAAAATGCTTTATGAATATATCTGTTCGGATTGTACATCTGGTGAGTAGTGCTCACTGAGCCACGTATTCAAAATACTGAATAATGCTATGTGCAAAATCACTGTGGAAGGAGGTGCTTTGGAGACTACATAGATGAATGACACATGGTCCTTACTCTTCAGGAGCTTGCAGCTCAGCAAAAAAGTTGTAAAGGCATGCCTTCAAGAAACTGACACAGATCACAAAGCGGACACAGATAAAGAAATGCTGGTAGTTTGCAGAGAAAGTAATTTCTATTTGAGGTCATTAGAGGCAAAGAGACCATTTAGGAGACTAGTTTGATAGTTCAGTCAAAAGATTATCAGTGCTAGAACTAAAAGAGAGGTAATGAAGACTGAGAAGGGGGGAATGGATGTTAGAGCCATCGCAGAAGCAGAAATTCCTGATTAGATAAAGGAAAGGGAAAGACAGGAATACAGAACGAAGCCAAAGCTGACTCGGTCAGCCGAGGGCATGGATCTTTCACCTTGAAAGAAAATTCAAGAGGAAGAGTAATTTGACAGATGAAAAAGCAGAAGTCAGTACACTCATTCCATCTCCCTCTCCCTGGACTTCCTGCCTGCAGCCTGCAGGTGCGTGGTGGCCATATTCCTATACCTAAGGGTCAATTCCGTCAGCGTATGGAGGGAATAGCTTTCAACCGGTGCTAGCCCCTAGGAGCTTCACAATTTGTTAACTATAGTTTAGCCCACATCTTTCTATACCCCTTCATTAACCTTTTATCCGTATCCCTATTTGATATGCCATCTGTTTTCTGAGCCCTTAAAAATATTTGTATATCTTTAAATAAAGTAGATTATATGTACATATAAACGTATGCTTGTATAAGCATAGCAAATAGCTGGAAAGACACACACCAAACTGTTAGCAAAAGTTACCACCTGGTAATGGGGATGCAATAGGGGAGGGACAGGGAAAAGAAAAAAGGTTTTATTTTCTGTACCATATGAGTTACTTCAAACAGTAAGTTTGTATACCTTTAAAATAAAAATAATAGTTTTAAAAGTAGATTGAGAGCATGAATCAACCTAATGTAAAAAGTTCAGTAAATTCACTGGAAGGATAAAACCTCCCTAAGAAACAGTCGACAAAATTACAGAGAAAAACCCTAAACTTATACAGAAATTTAATGATAAATACATATTGAAGGAAATGATTAAATCCTTGTATGACGGCAGCATTGGAGGAATCTGTCCATCTTCATGGCTCCCAGCCCTTCCCTCCAGGCTGCTGGGGTAACCTGAGACCCACTAAGCCAGCAGACTCCTCCACGGAGCGCTCACCCTTGCCATGGAATTCCTGGTGAAGGGCCACGTGTTCTCGAACACTGCGTAAGAGGCAGAGATAGGTGGCAGCTTGGAAATGAAGCTCATGTTGGGCTCTGCATAACTTCTCACTGGTGACCTAGAAAGTAGCAAGGTCACATATTTTATTAACAGCCCAGCTAAAAATAATAATAATAATTTTTAAAAATTAAAAAAAAAAAACAGCCCAGCTAAGATACAGGGCAACAGATATTTCATAAGCATTCTCTAGAATGAAAGGAAGTTGTACAGAGGAAATATAAACATGTATATGCATATACTAATTACATATGTAGAGGCACACTATAGTTGTTCATTAGGAAAGCTGACCTCCAATTAATTGAAGAGGAATTTTACAAGGAGTATCACTGAGGAATTTCATTTAGTGTCCTCAGATTTTAATACTGAAAAAAAGTCCTTTCATTTCAATTCCCTTGTCTTACAAATCTTTTACAAATGAGGAAACTAAAGCCCAGAGAGGTTTCAACCACTGAAGAGATGGGGAATTATTAGCATTAATGTCGCCTCAGGAATAAAATATAGAATTTTCTCCCCCTCAAACAAATGAAAGCCTGCTTTTTATATTTCTTTTTTAATTTTTATTTATTTATGATAGTCACACAGAGAGAGAGAGGCAGAGGGAGAAGCAGGCTCCATGCACCGGGAGCCCGACGTGGGATTCGATCCTGGGTCTCCAGGATCGCTCCCTGGGCCAAAGGCAGGCGCTAAACCACTGCACCACCCAGGGATCCCCTGCTTTTTATATTTCTGACTTTGGTTAATGTGGTAGGTCTTTCAGCTCAATGAAAAGTAAAACCATTTTGTCTGAAAAAATAATAGCTTTGTCCTCAGCAATAACAAAATGGTTATATATAAGTAATATGCATATTTTCATATTACTAATTATACTTGCTTTCAATTTATTTATCCATCTAAAAATCCAGATTCTGACTCTATCTATTCAGAAGTCATCATAATTGATTTCTAGATTTAGTACTCTGTCCTGTATTTGACTAGTTTTGTGTTCAGAAGTTGTGAGCAGAGGGCAGGAAAGGTGAAAGATATGTGTGCATGGCTTCAAGTGACTTAAGGAGCTCTGCGTATACCTAATTGCAGAAATAATCTCTGGGTACCACTGCCTACATAAACACCTTTCTTTCACCTTTCTTTATTTGAATACATAGAGTTAGAATCTGAAAACTAGAAAGTTTGGTTTAAGATCTGCACATGATGCACACACACACACAGAGGTGCAGATCACATGTGAAAATGGCACTCATAAGCTGCTCAAAAAAACAAATTCATCTGCTCTAACCATTTAACTTTTTTTTAAAGATTTTTTTAAATTTATTTATTCATGAGAGAGAGAGAGAGGGGGGGGGGGCAGAGACACAGGCAGAGGGAGAAGCAGGCTCCATGCAGGGAGCTCGACGTGGGACTCGTCCCCAGAATCAGGCCCTGGGCTGAAGGCGCTAAACCGCTGAGCCACCCCGGGCTGCCCCCATTTAACTTTTAATAAATAAAATTTATGAGTGACCAACACCGTCACACATCAACAAATGGTAACATCCATTTCTATCATATAAGCCCAAATTTTTTTTTAAATTTTTTTAAAATTTATTTATTTATGATAGTCACAGAGAGAGAGAGATGCAGAGGGAGAAGCAGGCTCCATGCACCGGGAGCCTGATACGGGATTCGATCCTGGGTCTCCAGGATCGCGCCCTGAGCCAAAGGTACGCGCCAAACCGCTGCGCCACCCAGGGATCCCCATGTAAGCCCAAATTGATAGGATTTTAAACAGGAATTCTATGTCAGTGTAGGATAGGAGAATATGGATCCTGATTCAGCTGAGCCTGCAGCAGGAGTCAGGAGAGAAGGGCCAGCAACATACATAGTAAATGAATAACAAGAGACCAAAAGAGATCAAATGAAAAAGAAAACTCAGGGTGCCTGGGTGGCACAGTTGGTTAAGCATCTGACTCTGTTTTAGCTCTAGCTCGTCATGATCTCAGGGTCCTGGGATAGAGTGCCACTCTGCCTAGAGTCAGCTTGAGATCTCTCTGCCTTTCCCTCTGCCCCTCCTGCCCATGCTCTCTCTCTCAACAAATAAATCCTAAAAAATAACGAAAATGAAAACTATATCTTCTCTAAGGAAAAGCAGAAGTTCCTCCCTAAATGAACCCCTTCAGTTTAGGGAAAGGATACGGAAAATGGGCATTGATGGTTACCGAGTTAGCTCTGAGCCAACGGAAACAGAAAGCATTCCCCATGTCCTCACATACATTCCACAGAATGGTGTTTCTGGAATTTGGAGCATGGATTTTTATGTATTTCCAAGGAATTTGAGAGCCATTACCAAGCCTCTCTCAAAGGCAATAACATTGCCTCCACAAGGTACACCTATAAACATGTCACCTTAAAAATCTTAGAATGAACTTCCATCCTAAGGAAGGTCACCGTAAACGACCTTCCATTACATTTACAATGAAGTTTAAATTCCTGCCTATCACATCTACTTCACCTACCATATCACCCTAAGCTTCAATCGTTCTCAACTGTCCCTTCTTACCTCTGGACTTTCAGTGGTACAGCTTTTTGCCCTGGACTTCATTTTCCCTAACCCTCATTTGCTTGCTAACTCTTAATTTTTCAAGTCCCTGCTTAGCAACTTTCCTCCTGAAATCCCACCACGTCCCCACACAAGATCCTCCTGTTGTTTATTCTCTTGGCGCTTACTTATTCTATGTGCTTTGCCCTCAGGTTCCTCAGCCTGCAGATTTCTTAAAAGACAGGACTCTGGGATCCCTGAGTGGCTCAGCGGTTTCGCGCCTGCCTTTGGCCCAGGGCGCGATCCTGGGGTCTCGGGATCGAGTCCCACGTCGGGCTCCCGGCATGGAGCCTGCTTCTCCTTCTTCCTATGTCTCTGCCTCTCTCTCTCTCTATCATAAATAAATACATAAATCTAAAAAAAAAAAAAAAAAGGACAGGACTCCTGTGCACCTTATTCATAATTTTAGTCAAGTTCTTAAAAGTCTCTTAAGATTTTCACCTTTAAATTTTTTTTGAATTTTAGAGGGACTGAGTGGCTGGGTCAGTTTGGCGCTGGACTCTTGGTTTCCGCTCAGGTCATGATCTCAGGGTTGGGAGATTGAGCCTGCAGCGGGTCCAGGTTTAGCGAGGAGTCCGCTGGTGATTTCTCACGCCCTCTTCCTCTACCCACACTCTCTCACACAAATAAGAATCTCTCTCAAATAAATCTTTTTAAAATTCTTGGGTAGGGATGTCTGGGTGGCTCAGTGGTTGAGTGTCTGCCTTTGGCTCAGGGCGAGATCCTGGAGTCCCGGATCGGGTCCCACATCGGGCTGCCTGCATGGAGCCTGCTTCTCCCTCTGCCTGGGTCTCTGCCTCTCTCTCTCTCTGTGTGTGTCTCATGAATGGATAAAAAAAAATCTTTAAAATAAAATAAAATTCTTGGGCTGGGTGGTTCAGCGGTTTACTGCCACTTTCAGCCCAGGGCCTGATCCTGGAGGCCACGGGATCGAGTCCCATGTCGGGCGCCTGGAGCCTGCCTGCCTGTGTGTGTGTGTGTGTGTGTGTGTGTGTGTGTGTGTCTAATGAATAAATAAAATCTTTAAAAAAACTTTTTAAAATTCTTGCATTTTAGACCCACATTAGGCATAGAGTTTACTCAATACATTATACAAAAATTTTGAATTTTAGTTCTAACACATTGCATCTAACTCCCAAGAGGCTGGTTCCCTTTCTCCAAATTGCCCAAAGACAGTGGGCTTCCTACCCTGCGGTCCAAAGTGCCGCCCCAACATACTACCTCAGAGATCGCTGCTTCCAACTTCCTTCCCAGACCCACCCGAAGCTCCAGAGACAGCCAGTAAATGTGAGACTCCCATCTGGGAACCCCGGTGCTAGCTGCTCCTAGACCGGTCCTCGCACAGGTCAGCGTCCCTGAGCCTGCTGCCCCGCTTGGAAGCCGCTCTCGCCTAGAGGGAAGATGTACGGAGTGTGCATTTCAGGAAGCAATTTCCCAAGGACGGCCTCCCACATGTTGAAGTTTATCTGCTACGTAAGGCAAAAAAAACCCCGTCGGCGTAGGAGGTCAGGCCCCACGTTGACGTAGGGACAGGACACCTCGCCGCAGGTGCCTAGCTCAGCCCTGCAAGCGCCGTTCCCTTGAGGGGTGCACAGAGACCAGAGAAGTAAAACACGGCTCCCGCCAAGGCCTTCACGTTCCTCCTATGCCGGGTCTCTTTTCTGCCTCAAAGACGGGTGGTCGGGGTGCCTCCCGGGGGCGGCGAGAAGGTGGGCGGACGCCGCGGCGAGCCCCCCGGCTCCGCACCCAGCACGTCTGGCCGCCGCTCGGCCTCCCTGGGCGCAGGCGCCGGCCACGCACAGCCTCGGGGCGACTCGGCGGTCCTGCCGCCCTCGGTCAGCGCCGGGGCTCCGGCCACAGACCACGGCCCAGGGCACGGCTTTGCTGGGGGGAGGCCGGGTTCCCGCAAGGCGGGCGCCGCGCCCGGCCGCCCCCCCCCCCGCCCGGCCGGGCCACATCCCACCCCGTCGCCCCCTCCCCGGGGAAGGGGCGCTGCAGCGCCGGCTCGGGTTTCCGTACCCGATGTGCACGGAAGGCCTTCACGAGGTACCGATAGGCTGCGGTGTCGCGATACGGCCGGCCCGTGGCCTCGCTCAAATAGCGCAATTCCCGTAGAAGGCCTCGTAAAGTGCGCGCCGGGGACCCTAAGGCCGCCATTTTCCCGTCCTCGGAGCCCGGCGCCCAATGGCGCCCTACGCCCCTCAGGCTCCCTCCCCCCGAGCCCAGCGGCTAAATGGTACGGTCGGACCCAGACGGCCGGGTTCCCCCCACCCCCGAACGCGGGGTAATGGAATAGCTCACTTCCCGTCTCTGCGGAGCCTTACTAATCAAACGCCGAGCGGCGCTCTAAGGAGTTAAGAGAGAGCAAACGAAAGCCGAGTGTAAGCAATGCCCCAGGTCCTTAAGAAAGTCTGAGAACAAGGCCGAGCTGAGGGGAAAGGAGGTTCATGCTGACTGCGTCATTTAAAACGTCATTAGCTGACCGCTGAGTCTCGAGAATAAGTGAGCCTGTGGGAATGGCTGTTGGTTTGAAACAGAACGCGAAAGATAACCTTTTGGTATCTAGAGAGGACAGCGGAATTCAGAATACTTCCCAGAAGTCAGTCGTACGGCACTGCACGACTCGGAGGAAGGAAATGCAGTTTCGTCTTCTCTTCCACTGTAGTCCAACACCTAGGAAAACCACCCATACACTTCCTATTTTTAAAAAGTAAAATTAAGTTCGCATATTTCTGTATAGTTCTTTAATAACGGAAAAAGTCATTTTCAATGCGGGGGTGAAAAAGAAAACGCAACCACCCCAGATGGGACTCGAACCCACAATCCCTGGCTTAGGAGGCCAATGCCTTATCCATTAGGCCACTGGGGCTTCTGTGAGCGAGGCGCTCCAGCAACGTATTCAATTTTTTTTCCTCTTTGGTACGTCACCGTCATTTAGACCTCCTTTTAACCTATCCTGAGACACCACACCTAGTACCAATATGAGGGGTGAGGCATGCTGGGAGTTGTAGTTCAGAGGACAAGAGTCCGCGTTCCGGCTCCAAAGGCTTTACCCTCGAAACAGCACCGACGCGCCGGACGGAGAACGGGAGCGCGCACGGGTTTGCGTACGCGTGTGCCTGCCTGGTAACCCCCGCGCCTGCGCAAACGTGGGCCTGCGGTGTCGCGGAGCGGAGCGCGCTGGGAACACTGGCCGCGTCTCGGAGACTCGCCCTGGGAGCTTCTGCAGCGTCGGACTGTTACCGGAAGCAGCCTGCCCCTTCCGGGGTCGCGGCTGCCCGGATTTCGCTTGCCCCCAGCCCGCCTTTAGGGGGCGTCCGCCTCGGTCAGTTTTCTGTTTCCGGTTGAAGAGCGGAGACCGTTTCCGCGGAGCCAATGGCGGCCTGGAGACGTGGACCTTGCGTTGTGAATTGCCGGGTCACCGATAAGCCCGGGACGGCGGGGAGTTGTTGTTTAACTCCCTGGGAATTAGTTCATTAGGAATAACCAGAAGCTCTTTTTCTGGATCTGAGCCTGGTTGCGTGAATTGGACGAGTGGCTTCTGGGTGTCCGCGGCCTTAGCTCCTAGGCCAGGACGTCGGAGAGGCGGCCCTCGCCCCTGAGACTGCTGGGCCGCCGGCTGTCGTGGCCGCCGGCCTCGCGCTGCCGCTGCCGCTGCCGCTGCCGCTGCCTCTCGCCCTCCGCGCCCCCGGCCCAGCCTCTCCCACTGCCTCCTCCGCTCCTGCCCCCGCAGCCTGAAGCCTGGCCGTTGGTATTCGTATCCCTGTTTACCTCTTGGGCTTCCGGCTTCCTCGGGAAGTCTAGGCCCCGCACTGCTCCAGGCCTTTGTGGTCCACAGGGCAAAGTTAAAAAGGCTCATTACATGTTAACCGTACCTTTTGCAAGTAAAGTACCTGAGTCTGCGCTCCATCGTCTTCCCCGTGAGCCAGGATGCGGCTGCTCGGACTCCTGAATTCCCACTCTGGACGGTCCGGCCCCCTGCCCCGGGGTCCCTGCCGGGTCACCACTTGGAGGTAGCTGGCTCACAGTCTGGCTGGAACCCCGACACTCCCGGGATCGCCATCAGAGGAAACCAGACTAGAATGGCTTGATGTGAATGAATGAGTCTCTCCTTGTGACACTCCTAAAATACCGATCAACCCCGTAACTCCCAAGTATCTGGTTTTAAAAGGCACATCTGTATTAGGCGTTGAGAATGTTATCAGTTATTCTTTTGTTGATACTGTTAAGGAGAAAACCGCGGGCAAAAATGGCCTCACTTAGGTTAAGGTCCCAAGTCAGTAAACCAAGAATTAACACCTAGCCTGACTTTCAGTTATGACCCCTCCAGAAATGGAACCTATAACCAGGGGGTATGGAAACGTCCTGGTCAGCACTAGGAAATTTCCTGATGGGCCCCTTCTGTTCCCTTCAGGAAGGCAGCATTGCTTAAAACAATGGGTTCCTTAGCCAAGAATTTACTTTTTTCAACTATTTCTACCTTTAGAAACCTCTCTTTATGTAGCCCTTTGAAGCTCCCTTATACTTGCTAGATGGGATGCTTCCCAAGTCATGACTTGGTGAACAAAACCAATTCAATCTTTCAAATATAGCCAGCTGAATTTTTGTTATTTAACAATATAAATTTGTTTAAGGAGCTTTCAAGGATGTAACGAATTTAAGCCAGCACTGAGGAAGTGGGAGAATTTATTGGAATTAGGTGTTGGATCACTTGATATATTGTAGTACAGAGTAATAATTCTGAATTCTGAATGGCCAAGAAGCTGTTTGCTTCTTCTCTAAGTCATTCTTATATTAAGAAGGAATAAATGGGGGCAGCCCGGGTGACTCAGTGGTTTAACACGCCTTCAGCCCAGGGCGTGATCCTGGAGACGCAGGATCGAGACCCATGTCGGGCTCCCTGCATGGAACCTGCTCCCTCTGCCTGTGTCTCTGCCTCTCTCTCTCTCTCTCTCAAGAATAAATAAAAAGAATCTTAAAAAAAAAAAGAAGGAATAAATGATCATGAAATGTTAGCTGTACCTAGCCACTAGTCTCCACAAAGTTGGCTTGTGCATTTGTAGCTCCTTACATCAAGAAGTGAAGCTCATTTCTCATCCCACCCACCCTTCCACCTCTTGAATCTGAGCTGGTCTTGTGACTAGCTTTGACCAATATAGCAGAAGTGACATTCTGGACTGTTTGTAGAAGACCAGGCCTTAAGACTGACAACTTTCACTTCCTGCTTCTTACCTAGCTACCATGTGTGAAACCCCCAAGGCCTAAGGAGGAGTATGGAGTTGGCCCCAAGTGAGCTCTCTGCTGACAGATGGCCAACCTAGTGAGTAAACCATCTTGAATGTCCTAATCCAGTGGCACTTCCAGATGACCAGCCTCTGCCAACATCAGATGGAGCAGAGAATTGCCCAGCTAAACCCAGTTAACCCAAAGAATCATTAACAACAATAAGAAGGCTGTCTTTTGAAAATAATTCCACTAAGCTTTGGAATTATTTCACAGCAACAAAATAGCAAATCAGTCTGAAAAAGTTCGTAGAGACCATTTGGCCAAATTTCTCAATTTTGCAGCTTTAGAAAATCTTCATGTTCCTAGTCGCAGGGCTACAAACTCAAAAAAAACTCTACAGCAGAGACAAGGCAGGTAATACAAGAGTGAATCAGGCCAGGTGGGTTCCTACCTCTTGCAAAGGGGCTAGACATTTTCAGCTCAGTCCCATTGTTGCAAAGTAGGAATACGGTCCCAGTACTGCCAGGGCTGCTGATTTTTCAATAATTGTAAATCTGGCATTTTTATGAAATGTCCTAACTTTCAAATGTTAGCAATCAAGTTAAAAACAGTTTATCAAACAAAACACTTTGTTGGCCCTTATATAACATAGGATTGCAAGTATGTGAACTATGTCCAGAGCACTTTACAGGCAATGTCTCGCTTGACCTTCACCATAATCCTGTGAGTTAGTACTCTGATTTTATCCACTTACAAATGTGGGAACAATCTCAGAATACTTTCATGGTTTAATCAACATTATTAACTGGTATTTGGCTCCAGGCAATCTAACTCCAAAGCTTTTTTTTTTTTTAATTTTGTAAGTTATAGCAGAAAATGGATTTTTATTAAAAAGATAATGGGTGGGGATCCCTGGGTGGCGCAGCGGTTTGGCGCCTGCCTTTGGCCCAGGGCGCGATCCTGGAGACCCGGGATCGAATCCCACGTCGGGCTCCCGGTGCATGGAGCCTGCTTCTCCCTCTGCCTGTGTCTCTGCCTCTCTCTCTCTCTCTGTGTGTGACTATCATAAATAAATAAAAATTAAAAAAAAAAAAAGATAATGGGTGATTTTCAGAATTTCCTGGTAAGGCCAGAGACCAGACTTAGAAGCTATACAGATGAAAACCTGACCCAAAATCATGCTCCAGAATGAGCCAGTGAAAACACCATGAGGCACAACTGCTAAGAACTTGCAAGGCTGGTACAATGACAGTAGACAGGAGCTGGGACCAGCACCAGAGCTCTTGCTCCAGGACACTGGCTAATACCAGTGGTTTCTCTGCTTTTCCTTGTGCCAGAATGGATTAAGTCTTTACCCAGGAGTCACTTTCTGAGGTGAGTACTTCTAATTAGCGTGACCTGGGTCATGTTCCTATGTATTGGTCAAGAGTATCTGGGAAAGCAAATATATTATCATTCAGTGAATTTTTATTGAGCATCTGCATTGAGTCAGGCACTCTACTAGATGCTAGGGAAGTAAAAGCAAGTGGAATATGGAAAACTTCTATATTCATGAAGTTTCCATTCTAGACAAACAGACAATAATCAAATAAAACATAAAATTTATCAAATGGTGATGAGTGTTATGGAGAAAAGTAAAGCTGGAGGCAGCAGATAGGAACCTGCTGCTTAATAATGCATTTAGGGATGTCCTTACTGATTTGGTGACGTTTGAGCAGGGACTCCAGTGATGTGAGGGATCCAGCATCTTGAGCTTATGTGTACACACATGTTGGGGTGGAACAGTGCCCATACTTTTTTATACATATGTTGAGAGACCCAACCTCCATTCCCCAACCATTGTGATGCCACCATTCTGTCCTTTGAGCCTTTGAGGGAAAACGAGGAGTTCTGGAATCAGTTTTCCATGCCCAGAGAAACTGTGGGAACAGACTCAGAAGGTTCAATCTTAACTCTGCAACTACAGCAGTGACTTGGCTATGTGGCCAGTCATGGGAATCTGGGAGA